AAACAGCTTTGATTGTTTTCACCTAAGTTTCATTTAGCTACTGTATATTTTTATAGAGATATTTACAGTGAACGTTGTTAAACTCGTCTTCGACCGAACTTCCCTTTCACATATAGGGCAGGTCATGGTTACCCTTTAGGTGAATACCTGATATCATCATTGATTTTCAGTGATCCATTCACGTTTTCCACTGAAGATCTGGGTTAGAATAGGTCTTCGGCAACCCATGCTTGTCTTCAGAGGCGACTATTCTTATTGTAAGTGGCGACTAACGGGATTGGGTGGCCAGACTCGCTGACTTGTTTGATGTATGTCATCGTATTCCAATTGCGTGATATCAAGATGCTCAATGTTAATCCCTGGATTGTCTGTCCAGACTCGATTATTTTAAGACCGCCGTCCCATAGCTTGAGTATTGCTGAGTGCGGTGATAAACAACAAACAAACAAACAAGCACATCTCGGAGACTGATGATGTATTTATTGACCGGCCAGTCGATACGGGGGGTGTCATGGTATTCATATTAAACAAACATAATTTGAAAAAATACTGGAATACAATAATTGAAGCAGAGTATAAGTGTGGTGGCACGGGATCAAACAGCTGTATGTGTTGAAGCAGAGTATTAGTGTGGTGGCTCGGGGTCAAACAGCTGTGCGTCTTGAAGCAAAGCATAAGTGTGGTGGCACGGGGTGAAACAGCTGTATGTCTTGAAGCAGAGCATTAGTGTGGTGGCACGGGGTGAAACAGCTGTATGTCTTGAAGCAGAGCATTAGTGTGGTGGCACGGGGTGAAACAGCTGATTATCTTGAAGCAGAGCATTTGTGTGGTGGCAGGGGTCAAGCATCTGTATGTCTTGAAGCAGTGTGGTGGCACACGGTCAAACAGCTGCATGTGTTGAAGCAGAGTATTAGTGTGGTGGCACGTGGTCAAACAGCTGCATGTGTTGAAGCAAAGCATTAGTGTGGTGGCACGGGGTCAAACAGCTGCATGTGTTGAAGCAGAGTATCAGTGTGGTGGCACGTGGTCAAACAGTTGTGTGTCTTGAAGCAGGGTTTAAGTGTGGTGGCACGGGATCAAACAGCTGTATGTGTTGAAGCAGAGTATTAGTGTGGTGGCTCGGGGTCAAACAGCTGTGCGTCTTGAAGCAAAGCATAAGTGTGGTGACACGGGGTCAAACAGCTGTATGTCTTGAAGCAGAGCATTAGTGTGGTGGCACGGGGTCAAACAGCTGATTATCTTGAAGCAGAGTATTTGTGTGGTGGCAGGTGTCAAGCATCTGAATGTCTTGAAGCAGTGTGGTGGCACACGGTCAAACAGCTGTGTGTCTTGAAGCAGAGTATCAGTGTGGTGGCACGGGGTCAAACAGCTGTATATGTTGAAGCAGTGTGATGGCACGTGGTCAAACAGCTGCATGTATTGAAGCAGAGGATTAATGTGGTGGCACGGGGCCAAGCATCTGTATGTCTTGAAGCAGTGTGGTGGCACGTGGTCAAACAGTTGTGTGTCTTGAAGCAGGGTTTAAGTGTGGTTGCACGTGGTCAAACAGCTGTGTGTGTTGAAGCAGAGTATTAGTGTGGTGGCACGGGGTCAAACAGCTGCATGTGTTGAAGCAGAGTATTAGTGTGGTGGCACGTGGTCAAACAGCTGTGTGTCTTGAAGCAGAGTATTAGCGTGGTGGCACGTGGTCAAACAGCTGTGTATCTTGAAGCAGAGTGGTAGCACACGGTCAAACAGCTGTGTGTCTTGAAGCAGAGCATTAGTGTGGTGGCACGGGGTCAAACAGCTGTATATCTTGAAGCAGAGTATTTGTTTGGTGGCTCGTGGTCAAACAGTTGTGTATCTTGAAGCAAAGTATTGTGTGGTGGCTCGTGGTCAAACAGTTGTGTATCTTGAAGCAAAGTATTTGTGTGGTGGCTCGGGGTCAAACAGCTGTTTGTCTGGAAGCAGAGTATTAGTTTGGTGGCAAGGGGTCAAGTATCTGTATGTCTTGAAGCAGTGTGGTGGCACACGGTCAAACAGCTCTGTGTCTTGAAGCAGAGCATTTGTGTGGTGGCACACGGTCAAACAGCTGTATGTGATGAAGCAGAGTATTAGTGTGGTGACACGCGGTCAAACAGCAGTATATCTTGAAGCAGTGTGGTGGCACGTGGTCAAACAGCTGCATGTGTTGAAGCAGAGTATTAGTGTGGTGCCACGTGGTAAAACAGCTGTGTGTCTTGAAGAAGAGTATAAGTGTGGTGGCCAAACGTGGTCAAACAGCTGTATGTCTTGAAGCAGAGTATTCGTGTGGTGGCACCTGGTCAAACAGCTGCATGTGTTGAAGCAGAGTATCAGTGTGGTGGCACGCGGTCAAACAGCAGTATATCTTGAAGCAGTGTGGTGGCACGGGGTCAAACAGCTGCATGTGTTGAATCAGAGTATCAGTGTGGTGGCACGCGGTCAAACAGCAGTATATCTTGAAGCAGTGTGGTTGCACGTGGTCAAACAGCTGCATGTGTTCAAGCAGATTTTTAGTGTGGTGGCACGTGGTCAAACAGCTGTATATCTTGAAGCAGTGTTGTGGCACGTGGTCAAACAGCTACGGGTCTTGAAGTAGAGCATTAGTGTGGTGGCACGTGGTCAAGCAGTTGTATTTGATGAAGTATAATGGTGGCACGGGGTCACGTGTCACACATATGACGTCGGTCGCGGAGAATAGTGTTCGGCAGCTTGACTCCTGGTCGTTTCAGTATTGATATCATGTATTGTGTCTGTCGCCTTTGCTAGAAATATGCCTATGTTCACCCAGCAGTGATTGGTACCCGCTAGGATGAGAAATGCGACTGCTAACCTTCAAGCGCCTCACAAGTCCTGGGTTTTTTTACTCCCCAGGGAGCAGAGAATACAATTCGAGCGCACACTGATCCAGTTATCGGGGTAAAGATAAGATATATCATGGTATAAGCGCATCTGATAGGTCATAAATTGATAAGTGCGCTATACAAATTCATAACATAATATAATATAATAAGATATAATTAGATATACTGACGGTCCCTGAGCAATTCCCTGAGCGCAACCGACATTCCGGGGAGACATGTAACATGACTGCTATGAACTCTTTTACACAAAATGATGAAAGTGTGGCTCATTTTGCGTGTGATTCGTAGTAGTAGTATCTAACATAGGACTCCGTGAGGTTGTCTCTGTGGGATCTCCAATGTGGACAAAGAGTTTCTCCCTCAGACCGGAAGTATTTCATTTCTGTTTTGTTTGATTTTTTGTTTGTTGTTTAACGCTTCACTCAATATTCCAGCTATATCACGGCGGTCTGTAAATAATCGAGTCTGGGCCAGACAATCTAGTGATTAACAACATGAACATCGATCCCCGCAATTGGGATACGATGACATGCATCAACCAAGTCAGCGAGCCTGACCACCCGATCCCGTTAGTCGCCTTTCACGACAAGCACAGGTTGTTGAAGACCTGTTCTATCCCGTATCTTCACGGGTCAGTATTTAAAACATACTTCCATGATTGACATACGGAGATTTCCTCGGGAAGATCTCCAGTGACGACTGAGAGCTTCTCCGACAAACTAGTAATATTAAAAATGGGATTACATGGTGGACAAATAAAGGTTGTTTCAGGAGATCTCCGGTGACGACAGAGAGCTTCTCCCATAAACAAGTAATATTTAAAATAGGATTCCATGATGGACAAACAAAGGTTGTTTTGGGAGATCTCCGGTGACTAAAGAGAGCTTCTACCAAAAAATAGTAATATTTAAAATGGGATTACATGGTGGACAAACAAAGGTTGTTTTGGAAGATCTCCGGTGACTATAGAGAGCATATACCAAAAAAATCGTAATATTTAAAATGGGATTACATGGTGGACAAACAAAGGTTGTTTCGGGAGATCTCCGGTGACGACAGAGAGCTTCTCCCACAAACTAGTAATATTTAAAATAGGAGTCCATGGTTTGACGAACAAAGGTTGTTTTGGGAGATCTCCAGTGACGACAGAGAGCTTCTCCCACAAACTAGTAATATTTAAAATAGGATTCCATGGTTTGACGAACAAAGGTTGTTTTGGGAGATCTCCGTTGACGACAGAGAGCTTCTCCCCCAAACTAGTAATATCAAAAATAGGATTCCATGATGGACATACGGAGATTGTCTTTGGAGGATCTCCATTGACGACTGAAAATCTCTCCATCAGCTGATGGCGACTGTAAATACGTTTGTGAAGCTGGCGTGGTCTCTTTGATATCCCTAAGGATAAGACAACATAATTGCGGCTGCAAATACAATCATTCACCGACGACGCTACCAAACCCAAGAGACACTGCTCAAACATGAGTAGACTTGACGTGAGCTGATCTTGAGTAAATTCACATACGGTTTGAATTGTCTTTACAGTTACAGAATACAGACACGCCTTGCATTGAATAGCTCGACACTTCTACTCTGTGTTCAGTGCTTAGACAGCTTGGTCGTCAAACATCCAGTGCCTTCAATTTCAATCACAGCGACTAAAACACCAAGTGCCTGTATGCACTACAAAGGGATGATGGTGTATAACGTATTACTACCGTATTTCCTCTAGAAGACGCCCCAAAAGCGTATGTTTTTGAAAATCATTTTTGACTTGGGGCCGTATTCAAAAAGTCTTAAAGTACTTAAGAAGTCTGAGAAACTTCAAGATTTCCTCGTCTGTCCGATTATTTTGCATATCTTTTCGCGGCGGGATTGATCGTGATGACAGACACGTGATGCCAAATCTTAACTGATGAGACAAAAGAGTTACTCTTATTTTTCAGATTACATTTCCAAGTAGTAGGTTTATGAATTCACTGTTAAGAGATTATTTTAGCCAAGGGTGTTTCACGAAAAATCTTAATAACATTCTTAGAATCTTTATGATTATTGACCTTGGTGTCTGTTTGACACCCGACCTGTGTTTCTTAACGGCTACATAAACGGATTCATTTTCTTTTTTCCAGTGCCCAGCGGATGTGTATTAGAGGAAATACGACAGGCAATATTTCTTGATTCAGTTGGATGTCATCACAACTGTACCAATACGTCAGTATCAGAGACCATCAAAGCGCACGCACGCACGCACGCACGTAGACATACACTAGCGCCAGTACCTCGACTTTCACCCTACAAATTAAACACTAATGTGACGTGATGAAGCGGACTGAGAACGGAGAGATGCCCGGTAGGTTTAATCAAACTGACGACACCTTCAACTCCCTCAGGCCCATCTCTTTAAAATATGGCTACTTCTTTTCTTGTTGCCGAGCCGTTCTTGAAACTGCGACAACATGTTTGATGCATTTTGTAACGAAATATTGTTTATCTATGTTAAAGGATCGTGTACCACGCGGATCATGATAACAACAAAAACAGCAATAACAGCGGGCGTCCAACCAAGTGACCCGGGGTCAGGTCTCGTGACGCGACAGACCTGGGAGGCACAAAGGTATGCATAAGAAAGACAAGACACGACATAAATATCAGGCAAACTGACGAATTTTGAATATTACACAGATACAGATAGTCGTGTGAGTGAGTGAGTGAGTTGGGTTCACGCCGCTTTTAACGGTATTCCAGTTATATCACGGCATGTCAGCTTAATGTGGGAGGAAAGCCCGAAGTGATGCAGGTCTTAGACGTTTACCACTTCGGTGAAACCCACGAGCACGGGTATGGTGCTGACAAACCTAGAAACATAATCGGGTCGAACCGGGATTCGAACCCACAATCATAGGTTTCTGGCGTGCCCAAGGGACGCAACTCCGCGGCGCCTCAGACGACTAGGCCACCCGTGCCCCCTTACAAATAGTCGAACCTCGTTGTGTCGAACATAGATGTGTCGAATTCCCGGTGGTTTCGAACTCGCCTTTCGGTCCCTGCGAATTCCTTTTATATTTATCATCATTAATACGCGGATCTGTCTAATTGGATGTGTCGAATAACCGACATTCCCAAATATCCAAATTAATCATACACTTTCAACTCTAAAATGCGGCAACCGACACAAAGATCTATGAAACCAAACTATACTCCATGTGGTAATCTTTTAATAACATGTTTGTTTTTCAGAAATTCACTTTGCTTGTTGTCTCGAACCCCGAATACACAACGTTCGACTGTATATAGCTCCGGTGAAATAACAACACTACAAGAGTACTGATGTTCTGACAGTGAATGGCTCCGCGTGAGTACAATGTTAACGATGTTGGGATTTTGTATCGAGATTAGATATTTTGTTAGCTACAGCTACAAAACCTGTCCTTGTGTTATCTCCTTAGTGCCGTGTGCCAAGTAGAGTAACAACAAGTACCATCACTTAACGCGTTTTGGTATAACGCGGCCGGGAATCGAACCACCGACCTTCCGGTGTCCAGACTGACGCTTTATCTAGAGACCACGGCGGCGGTCGAACGTGTAAGATGTTGCACAGTTCCTATTTACTTACCTGTGTTGAGCAGGGAGAGGAGGAGACAGACGGCGGAGACGTGGGTCACCTTCATGTCAGTAACAGTCACTGTCTGTAACAGAGTATGTGAGTTTGGTTAAATGCAGCTCAAAGAACAGGGGGAGATGTTTTCCTATGCGACATCTCTGCGCGAATCTGGAGGACCCCTCCATTGGAGGTCGCGTCAAGAGAACTTTCTGATCGGCCAATCACCGTATAGGCTTCTAAATTCTCAGTACCAGTGAGCGAATGCAGTTCGCGCTATTGCATTATGGATATTTTATAATCCTGTCGTTTTCGAGCGTCATGGCATCACCCCAAACGTCGAGGGTATATTTTTGTTCAGTGGCAGTTTTCTTTTGCAAATAGTGAAATTTCCGAATCGAGGTGAAACCGTATCATTTTAAAAAGCTACCGTCTGACTGGTTCAAAAACTCACGCATCCATTTAAATCCATGCTCGCTACCGCTACACAAAGATGAGGACATCCATTACAGGTCACGTCAGTACGACCTTTCGCGAACTTTAACCGACCAATGTAACTGTAATAATTATCTAGATACGTGCTGATTGGTTGATTTGAAAGTCCACTTTACAGGACATACAATGGATGATTTGTCAGATCTTGAGGAAAACAGAGGTATCAAATCGTCGTAAAAGATCTGATTTGAATTAAATTCATTTTTGATGGTGAACCAAAAACGACAAGAAACAATATTAGTTTTTGGTTCACTTTAAGTGTATATTTGTGTCGAATGCCTCAAACTAAATCTGTTGCAAGAACCGACTAAACTGGGAACCAGGTAGCTACACCGTGTAACCTGGACGATAGCTTCATCGACACATCACAATTGCTAATGCTGTCAACCATTTGTGTTGTTTCGATAACTTAAAGCCACTGTTATATCACTGTACATCTGCTGCTTGTGGACAAACATCACCCACTTTACTCAATGGGTTCCACATGACAAAGTAGTAAAACAACTGACATAATGTCTCATGTCTGAAAAGCTACATCGCGCTTCCAGTTTGGTAGGGCGGTGGGGTAGCCTATTGGTTAAAGCTTTCGCTCGTCACGCCAAAAACCCAGGTTCGATTCCCTACATGGGTACAATGTGTGAAGCCCATTTTTGGTGTCCCCTGCCGTGATATTGCTGGAATATTTCTAAGCGTGGCGTAAAACTATACATACTTACTTACTCACTCCAGTTTGACCATCTTCCCGACGCAAGGGAGTTAACTGACTATAAAAGTCCTTGCCGAAAGAGGCTGGAATTTCTTGGCTCGATCGTAGCGCCACCAGTGGCTATTACCAGTTTTGTCCTTTCTATGTCCCTCCTATTGACCAATCAGATTCCACCTCTCATATCACTTGCATTTGCTTCAAACAAAATAAATCCGGTCTTCATCAAATCAGGTGAGCACCTTCATTAAAAACATGAAACGTTTTGGGAAATATCTGTTGACGCCGAGTTGGCGGTACACATGATTTGCTGTTACTTCTCGATGAAGATTTCGTTACGCGATTTTAATGGAACAATGCATAGACTCGTTAGTCCAGCCAACATACAACTCCATAATTCAACCCTAGTTCGGCAAGGGTGGCAACTGGACTTTAATAGTCAGCTTTACATGCTAGTTTAGTAAACTGCAATGTGTACAGAGGGGACAGACATGATCCGACATGATCCGACATGCATTCTCAACTAAGTGGCAGATAATCCTCGGAGGTACGATAATCAACTTGACCATGCATGTGTCTGTCAATAATCATATTTCGCCTTATTAGTTGTTCGTAAGAGGAAGAGATCGGCGATGTTAATTTCACCAAGGAGTAAATCACTTGTGTGTAACTAAATTACCGCTGTTGATTAGCAGGTGGTGCTAATGATGGCGCCCGTTGTCCGGGGACCTCCGTGTTGTCAAACACTGCCAGACATGCAGAACATCTCAATGTCAGGCCAAGTCACGTGGTTGCACATGTCTTGCAGCGTCTGTGAGGTTGTGCGGACATCTGGAGCACCATGCCAAGGAGTATGCACCACATTCAGACAATCCAGTGATTGATATGATGAGCATCGATCCACGCAATTGGGAAACAACATGCATCAACCAAGTCAGCGACCCTGACCACCCGATCACGTTAGCCGCCTCTAACGACAAGCATAGTCGCCTTTTACAGCAAGCATGGGTTGCTGAAGACCTATTCTAGCCCGGATCTTAACGGGTACACTACGATGTAAATACCCCCGAAACAATATTACATTGTTTATTGAATCACCAGGACAGAATCATATTTCAGACTAAATGTACAAAGTGCTGTAAAGACAGTACATCTTCTCTAATTATACGAAAATCGGATGGTGCCACTTTGGTAGCATTTTTCAAATCGAATTTTTTCGTTATTTCAATTATTTTCTCGTTGCTTTGAGTTTTTTCTCGTTATTTCGAAAACGCGTTATTTCAAGTTTTTTCTCGTTATGTTCTCGTTTTTTTCAATTATTATCTCCGATTTTTTTCCGCATCGGAAAGGTTTGATATAAAATAGAAGACAAATATATGCATACATTGTGTATTGACTTTTGAATAACTAGTACCGCTATTGTTTTGTTTCTATATCGAAAGGGAACTTAAATGAGTACGTGTTTTTAAATATTTAATAAGATCATGAATCAGACTGGTCAATCGTCACATTTTCAGTATTCACTTTGCCCTCTTGTTTAAAGCCAGGCGCAAATAGACCTGTAATGGTCCAAGTCGAACAAAAACCCAAATACCATACCATGGTCACCACATAAAGCAAACTAACAAATAAAAGGTACACGAGATGCATAAAAAAAAAGGGGGGGGGGGGGGGGGGGGGGGGGGGTAGTGGAACTTATAGAGAATACATGTCTCCTTACAGTGTCTTAATTGTGAGGGGCCACGTCTAAGGCGCCGCGATTCGCTGTGCAGAGTTGCGTTCTTGGGCACGCCAGAAACCTATGATTGTGGGTTCGAATCCCGGTTCGATCCGATTATGTTTCTAGGTTTGTCAGTACCATACCCGTGCGCGTGGGTTTCACCGAAGTAGTAAACCTGCATCACTTTGGGCTTTCCTCCCACATTAAGCTTACACGCCGCGATATAACTGGAATACTTTTAAAAGCGGCGTTAAACCCAACTCACTCACTTAATTGTGAGGGCTACCACAGATTCGTGACTTCGGAAAATCGAACTTTGCCTGAGGACTGATTTAAACGGACATGTTCTCTGCACGTGAAACAGCAGTCTCGTGCAGCACGTGATCTGCGAGCAGACGTGAGAGTGAGTTGACACCCGACAGACAAGGACGAGCTACGACGGTGGTGAGTTGTTTCTCACGGTTGAAGTTACAAGTTCTTTTATACCAACAATTGATAAAGACGTTCATAACGTTAATTCCACCGAACGTGACATCAGGGTGGTTGATATTTATCATTTATTTGAAGACCTGTCTAAGTGGTGATTGTCTATGTCTTTAGAGACCCATGTGCATGCTAACGTTTGCCGTTCACCCATTGACTTCATTACTGATATTTATGTCATGGCAGTAAAAATAAAGAAAATATTTCCATCCGACAAAATCCTCTTCACATTTGGCCTGGGTTAGGTTAACTCTACATATTTGCTTTTCAATACTTTTAGCCTGGGGTAATGAATTTAAAAAAATAAGGGGTTATGGGCGGAAGTTTTTCCAAGATAAATGCCACTGTTTGTGAGAATACAATTTGTGACGTGTATGTGTAGATTCATCTAAGAACCATTCACAGAAGTTTTATTTTCAAGAGAATAAACGGCGCATAATGTGCCATTGTGAAAACGTTTGCTTGCTTGACAACGGTACAAGGATCTGTACCGAAACGTGGCCTTTACAGTAAATGAATAACTTATCCCTAATTTGTGTCTACATTGTTCGCAAGTATAGTTATTATCACGCCAGATACATTTGATAAATTAAAGGAGATAAGTTATATTTAAGAGCTCGATTTGCCTAAATGATTATTTAAGACGACGAAAATGACAGTGTTTACTATGGATATGACCCATCGGCCATGACAGGTGGTTCGTCTTTCTTAGGCTTACACTATACCTTTTATGTAGATACATGAACGTGCTCTTTATAAGGCAGACAGAATATTGCCTCGGCCACTGCTTAACGACTTACATTCTCTGAAAGAAGCCGACGAACAGTTCGAGGTTTTCCGCCAATGAAAACCAGTCAATAGGGCATTCGCCACCACTCGCCCCTTTCCTAACCTGCAAGAAGACTTGTCCCGGAATAACACGAGTCGGTCACGAATGTCAATAGGGAAGACACCGGCCCAGTCGACTAATTTGCAAACTGTGACCCAATTTGCTTTTCCCTCGGGTTCAGGAGTATACCCGTGAAGATCCGGGTTAGAATAGGTCTTCAGCAACCCATGCGGTAAGAGACGACCAACGAGATCGGATGGTCAGGTTTACTGACTTGGTTGATGCATGTAATCGTATCCCAATTGCGTGGATCGACGCTCGTGACATCAATCACTCGATTGTCTGATCCAGACTCGATTATACACAGACCGCCGTTTTATAGATGGAATATTGCTATGTGCGGCGTTAAAAAACAAACATCCAAACAAAGTTTAGGAGTACTCTCAGTACTAAAAGTTCTTCATGAGTAACTGAAGAAATTCTTCGATATAAAAGTACCTTTTATTTCTTAGAAGCATTAAGCACTATAAGATGTTTTATGAATACGCCTTAGGATCATATTATTTCGGGTTCGAATCAAAGATTTGCTGCGGGTTATGATCTTGGTTTCTCAACACCATGCCCTATCTCGTGGGCTTAAACAAAATGGTAAACGTTCCAGACCTTCAGCACATTGGCTGACAGTAAATCGACACGCTGTGACAACTGTTCAGAGCTGCGTTAAAGTCAACTGACTTGTCTTCAGTGTTATCAATATGCTTTGCTATTGTTTCAGGGCGTTACACGATGGCCCGTTATTTGGTGCTGCTCCTTGTGATTGCTGTAAGTACAGAACTCACCAATGCATACTACTCAACTCTTGATAGGCATATTCCTATTTCTTGATGCCCCAATTCGATGTTAAAAGCCATGTTAAATGTATTCTTCCATCACCTAATTATGGCTGCCTACTTTAAAGAGTCTTCTCATTCGCGAATCTCTGCTGAAATGGCAGTATTTAGACTTGTCTTTTGTACTTCGGTAAAAGAAATATGCATGAAGAAAATGCCCGCATCGGCATATATATCTGTGACAAGGTCAAATTGAAAAGCTGCACGAAACAAGAGCTGTCAAATGTATCGTTTACCCACTCAATGGCTCCACACTCGTATAGACGGTAAATGATACATATCACAGCTATTACAGGAATAAATATATCCCTTAATGGAATCGGTTCTCAAACGTCGCGGGGATTACCACTTGGGATTCACGCGACACGCGACAATGCACTCAAGCAATCAGCTTCAGAAGTGGTGGAAGCATTATCCATAGTGTTTCTCATCTCATTGTCACCGTCTGTGAGCCGGCGGATGTAAATTATAACATTTAAACAAATGACTGCTTTTGGTTGAGAATATTACTGACAAGTTGTCTAAGATTTGTGCAAAAGCTGTCCACGATTTGATGTTACTAAGTGCAACGTATGCTGTATCCGTGTTGAGATTAAGAGATGGAAAGCAGACAGTTTGAAAAAGGAAGAAACCGCAAAAAACGTAACGGTTACTGCTTAGATATTACGGTAACATGCAGCCCGGGGCTTTCTTTTTATACGAAATTTGAAATTCAGGGATTTGTTTCGAGCTGGACGATGTATTTCCAAGCGGCAAATGGGTGTTTGAATTTGTGGGGTATTTTTAGGTGAAAAGCACATAAATACAGATGGTCTTATAAGCTGTGGCCATGGCCTTGGTTGAAACAAGCACTTTGATCCACGTCCCAAGGCAAGGGCTAAGGCCCCAGAACCATCCATGAGACGTCCATACACTACACAACATGGTTTGCACATGTATAACATCTACTTGAATGGGCTTCCCATTTGGCTTCCGGGACAGAATAGGTGAAGTACCCCGTGCTGCAAGAGCCCACAAATTGAGGATTGGGTACTTACAAAAAGCGTCCTTAGCGCTAGATAAGCGTAGACATTAGGTATAGACGTGACACGGACGCCTTATACCAAAGATAGCCTTATACCAAAGATAGCCCTGTAATGAGTGTTTCGTCATACCCCGACAGTGGATCGTAGCTTATTCTGGTCTACCTGGCCCACACGCATTGATGTACAGGTCACGTGACGAAGCTGGGATAGTGCTGATTTAGGGTATACATTCACTTATTCTAACTTTAATCTAACCTTCGTCCGGAAACAAATAAGAAGTCGCAATTGTCAGTGCCAGAATTTTCTAAGGTTAGATGTAAGATGTTAGATGTAAGGTTCATCAAGCCATAGGTTTTGGAGCCTGTTGAAAGGACGATAAGGAACAAACATATGTTAATCCAAGGTATAATTTGGCGGCGTCTTGGTTTCGTCGCCCGATATGGAAATCGACTGGAAGGTCTGCTTCCAATGAGTTTATTTTACCAGCAGTCATATTTCAGGTAAACACGCAATGCGATTCTTACAGAAGTTAACTTTCGTGTGATCGAAGGTAGGTAGGGGGGGATACGTCTAGACCGCAACACTTGTGATGAATCGAATAGTTTGAAAGCCATTTGTCCATTTCTCTGTTAGGATTCCGAGGAAGAATAGATCATTAACCCTTTCTATAAGAGCCGTTTAAAAACGAGGATTGGCTGGTCGAATTGTGTGGCCTGGTTGAATAAGTGTAAACCCCATGAATATCCGGCTCAGAATAGGTCTCAAGCAATCCATGCTTGCCGTAAAAGGCAACTGTGCTTGTCATTAGAGGCGACTAACGGGATCGAGCAGTCAAGATCGCTGACTCCGTTGATGCATAATGATAATCACTAGATTGTCTGGTCCAGACTCGATTATTTACAGACCGCCGTCATATAGCTGGAATATTGCTGAGTGCGGTGTTAAACAACAAACAAATAAAAAAAACACTAATAGTTATATAACGGTGAGTATTGTTTGCTGAGGAAGTTCGCAATTGTTAATGTTTTCATTCCAGACTGGGACCTATGGGGAAAATGCCGTTTTTCCAAAAGGATACATAATGGAAGGTGCGTAGAAATAAGTAGGTCTTGACTCAACTGCCAGATAGGCAGTGGGGAATCCGGCTTAGAATTGGACCCAGTATCCCATGATTGTAGTAAGAGGCGACTTAATGGATCTGGAGGTCAGGTTCGGTGAAATGGTTGATGGGTGTCATCGTACCACGGCAGCGTTGATCATTGTTCACTATCAATGACTTGATTGTCTGGTCCAGACTTGTATTATTTACAGCACGCTGTCACATAGCTGCGTTGTAAATCCAAACACCGCCAAATGCACCTCCAAGTGGCATCACTCCCAAAACACGTCTAGGTAGCAACACTGGCTATACACACCTTCATGGGACCCGTAAAGATCCGGGTAGAGAATTTACATATATAAGGTCTTCAGCAACCCAAGCTTTCCGTAAGAAGCGACTATGCTTGTCTTAAGAGGTGACTAACGGGATCGGGTGGTCAGGCTTTGTGACATGGTTGATGCATATAATCGTATCCCAAATGCGTAAATCGATGCTCATGATATCAATCACTGGATCATCTGGTCCAGACTCGATTATTTAGACTGCCGTTTTATAGAACAGTGCTGTGTGCGGCGTTGAACACCTACATTGCAACACTGTTTATGCACCGCCACGTGGCGACTCGCCCTGATCACATTTACGTCACAACCCACTCTACACACCGGCTATATATGTAATGTGTTTTTCTGTGTAGCATCAGTGTCAAGCCCTCATCTCTGCTCATACTGTCACCCAGGGGTTTGCTTTGAGATTTGGTCGGTACAGTTCATACAATTGTCAGGTGACTCCCGATGTGACCTATGTTAGTGTCATGATGAATGCATGTGATACACATGTGGTTACTTAGTGATTTGTGTCGTGAAGGTCATTCCTTGTATTTCTTTAGTCCTGCCCAGCTGTGGAAACAGCACCTCCGACAGCCCCTCCATCTCCGTCGTCACCGACCTGAAGGCCCAGGCCCGAGCCGAATGTGCCAACGGGGTGTTCTACTTCAACAACATCGACAAAGCCAAACTCACCCTCCAGGTGTCGTTCAAGGGGAAGAACTCTGGCTTGTGCGAGTTTGTGGTGAGAGCATCTCTCGAGGCGCTGTGGCTTGCAAACGCAATTATAGATATTACGGCAGAGATATGAGAGATACAAGAACTCGATTTGTCCTGAATTATTATTTATGATTACGAAACTGGCCGTGGATGTGGATGACACTAAAGGTAGGCCAGTATTAGGCACGTAATATTTGTGTTTGTGACCGACAGCGTCATGATTTCAATTAAAATGCTCGACAGTGAGGATCAGGTGGATACATTGACCGAGTTGATGAGAAGTAGATGGGGCACCTACTGTGATTTTTCTACGTTCTGTGTTATCTTACCCGGGTGACAGGGTGGGATACTCATACTATGACACTAAGTATGCATGTCCCAGGGCCAATTACAGGTCTCGGTGATAGTCGACTGTCGACAATACTGGGTTCAAGTAAACCATGAAAGTTTTCATTTTAGCGCTCCTGTTGTACAGTCACATGTCTTGCCCTCACGAAGGGTACAGGTACCCTCTGCACACTGTATAACCACGTCCTGTCCTACCCGTGAAGATCCTGGGTAGAATAGGTCTTCAGCAACCTATGCTTGCGGTAAAAGGCGACGATGCTTGTTGTAAGAGGCGACTGACGGGATCGGGTGGTCATGCTCACTGACTTGGTTGATTTGCATGTCATCGTATCCCCATTGCGTGGATCGATGTTCATGTCAATCACTGGATTGTTTGGTCCAGACTCGATTATTTGTAGACCGCCGTCAAATAGCTGGAATATTGCTGAGTGTGGCGTTAAACAACAAACAAACGAGCAAACAAAACGTCCTGTCCTTAAGGTGCGTGCTTGCAGGTATCCCTGTATAACCACCATGTGTTAGTTTCCCACATAGATACGGTGTGAAGATCCTTTTGAGAGCCTCCCGCCGGGATATTGCTGGAATATTTGTTTAACCATACTGAACCACGTGTTGCTGTTACAGAAACGTGCCGGTACCCCGGTGTACGTGGTGAAGGTGATCGTGGTGTTCGGAGAGAAGGGTCGCATGCTGGCACTGGATGACCAAGTAGTCACCGTCACGTGTACATATGAATCGAAGAAAACGAAGGAAACTGGAGCCCATAATGTCCACGGAGCGTGAGTATCACAGATGCAGGATTCAGCGCGGTGGCGATTCAGTCACACTACCGTCGACCCGTGAAGATCCGGGGTAGTACAGGTCTTCAGCAACCCATGCTTGCCATAAAAGGCGACTATGCTTTTCGTAAGAGGCGACTGACGGGATCGGATGGTCAGGCTTGCTGACTTCTTTGATTGACTCGGTTGATTGTATCCCAACTGCAAGGATCGATGCTCATGTCAGTCACTGGATTGTCTGGACCGGAGTCGATTATTTACAGACCGCCGTCATATAGCTGGGATATTGCTGAGTGCGGCGTTAAACCACGAACACATTAGCGTCTCTGCACTAAGACAGTCAAATGCAGATCGGGTGGCCTTAGTTCCTGCTGCGCAAAACGGCGATAGGTTGTGACACGAGAACCCGGGATAGATATCGCCCATCAGACCATATGTTCTGTCACATCGTTACATGATCCCGTCTGCGTCGTTAAACCCAATTTACAGAAGAACATTGACTAAAGACAGGCTTGCGTGCTATATACAACCAGTACCCAAGTGGAGCTTAACAGTAAATGTTTGCTGTAAATTAACCTTGTGGGCTTGGCACTTGGCCCACTAAGCGATTGTAGAGTACGACTACCACAACTCTCGTTCTTTAACATACATTTACATCGTAGCGCGAAGATTGCTTTGAGCAAGTGAGCCCTTGCTGCAGTGCAGCTAATACCGATGTGGCATAGGCCTGGCTTATGTGTATACAGTGCAGCTGATACGATGTGGCCTAGGCCTGGCTTGTGCATACAGTGCAACTAATACCGATGTGGCCTAGGCCTAGCATGTGTGGCAGCAGTGCAGCTGATACCGATGTGGCATAGGCCTGGCTTATGTGTATACAGTGCAGCTGATACGATGTGGTCTAGGCCTGGCTTGTGTATACAGTGCAGCTTATACGATGTGGCCTAGGCCTGGCTTGTGTATACAGTGCAGCTAATACCGATGTGGTCTAGGCCTGGCTTGTGTATACAATGCAGCTTATACGATGTGGCCGAGGCCTGGCTTGTACATACAGTGCAGCTGATACGATGTGGTCTAGACCTGGCTTGTGTATACAGTGCAGCTGATACGATGTGGTCTAGGCCTGGCTTGTGTATACAGTGCAGCTGATACGATGTGGCCGAGGCCTGGCTTGTACATACAGTGCAGCTGATACGATGTGGCCTAGGCCTGGCTTGTGTATATAGTGCAGCTGATACGATGTGGTCTAGGCCTGGCTTGTGTATACAGTGCAGCTCATACCGATGTGGCCTAGGCCTGGTTTGTGTATGCAGTGCAGCTGATACGATGTGGCCTAGTCCTGGCTTGTGGATAGAGTGCAGCTGATACGATGTGGCCTAGTCCTGGCTTGTGTATAGAGTGCAGCTGATACGATGTGGCCTAGGCCTGGCTTGTGTATAGTGCAGCTGATACGATGTGGCATAGGCCTGGCTTGTGTATACAGTGCAGCTAATACTGATGTGGTCTAGGCCTGGCTTGTGTATACAGTGCAGCTTATACGATGTGGCCGAGGCCTGGCTTGTGTATACAGTGCAGCTGATACGATGTGGTCTAGGCCTGGCTTGTGTATACAGTGCAGCTGAAACGATGTGGCCGAGGCCTGGCTTGTGTATGCAGTATAAAGCTAATACCGATGTGGCCTAGGCCTGGCTTGTGTATACAGTGCAGCTTATACGATGTGGTCTAGGCCTTGCTTGTGTATGCAATGCAGCTGATACGATGTGGCCGAGGCCTGGCTTGTACATACAGTGCAGCTGATACGATGTGGTCTAGGCCTTGCTTGTGTATGCAGTGTGAAGCTAATACCGATGTGGCCTAGGCCTGGCTTGTGTATACAGTGCAGCTGATACGATGTGGCCGAGGCCTGGCTTGTTTATACAGTGCAGCTAATACCGATGTGGCCTAGGCCTGGCTTGTGTATATAGTTCAGCTTATACGATGTGGTCTAGGCCTGGCTTGTACATACAGTGCAGCTGATACGATGTGGTCTAGGCCTGGCTTGTACATACAGTGCAGCTGATACGATGTGGTCGAGGCCTGGCTTGTGTATACAGTGCAGCTAATACCGATGTGGCATAGGCCTGGCTTGTGTATATAGTGCAGCTTATACGATGTGGCCGAGGCCTGGCTTGTACATACAGTGCAGCTGATACGATGTTGTCTAGGCCTGGCTTGTGTATGCAGTGCAGCTGATACGATGTGGTCTAGGCCTGGCTTGTACATACAGTGCAGCTGATACGATGTGGCCTAGTCCTGGCTTGTGTATAGAGTGCAGCTGATACGATGTGGCCTAGTCCTGGATTGTGTATAGTGCAGCTGATACGATGTGGCCTAGGCCTGGCTTGTGTATGCAGTGCAGCTAATACCGATGTGGCCTAGGCCTGGCTTGTGTATATAGTGCAGCTGATACGATGTGGTCTAGGCCTGGCTTGTGTATACAGTGCAGCTGATACGATGTGGTCTAGGCCTGGCTTGTGTATGCAGTGCAGCTAATACGGATGTGGCCTAGTCCTGGCTTGTGTATACAGTGCAGCTGATACGATGTGGTCTAGGCCTGGCTTGTGTATACAGTGCAGCTGATACGATGTGGTCTAGGCCTGGCTTGTGTATATAGTGCAGCTTATTCGATGTGGCCGAGGCCTGGCTTGTGTATGCAGTGCAGCTGATACGATGTGGTCTAGGCCTGGCTTGTGTATACAGTGCAGCTGATACGATGTGACCGAGGCCTGGCTTGTGTATGCAGTGCAGCTGATACGATGTGGTCTAGGCCTGGCTTGTGTATAGAGTGCAGCTGATACGATGTGGCCGAGGCCTGGCTTGTGTATGCAGTGCAGCTGATACGATGTGGTTTAGGCCTGGCTTGTACATACAGTGCAGCTGATACGATGTGGCCTAGTTCTGGCTTGTGTATGCAGTGCAGCTGATACGATGTGGCCTAGTCCTGGCTTGTGTATAGAGTGCAGCTGATACGATGTGGCCTAGTCATGGATTGTGTATAGTGCAGCTGATACGATGTGGCCTAGGCCTGGCTTGTGTATACAATGCAGCTGATACGATGTGGTCTAGGCCTGGCTTGTGTATACAATGCAGCTGATACGATGTGGCCGAGGCCTGGCTTGTGTATGCAGTGTAAAGCTAATACCGATGTGGCCTAGGCCTGGCTTGTGTATACAGTGCAGCTGATACGATGTGGTCTAGGCCTGGCTTGTGTATGCAGTGCAGCTGATACGATGTGGTCTAGGCCTGGCTTGTGTATACAGTGCAGCTAATACTGATGTGGTCCAGGCCTGGCTTGTGTATAGAGTGCAGCTGATACGATGTGGCCTAGTCCTGGATTGTGTATAGTGCAGCTGATACGATGTGGCCGAGGCCTGGCTTGTGCATACAGTGCAGCTAATACTGATGTGGTCTAGGCTTCGTATCAGTGTGGCAGCAGTGCAGCTAATACCGATGTGGCATAGGCCTGGCTTGTGTATACAGTGCAGCTGATACGATGTGGTCTAGGCCTGGCTTGTGTATGCAGTGCAGCTGATACGATGTGGTCTAGGCCTGGCTTGTGTATGCAGTGTAAAGCTAATACCGATGTGGTCTAGGCCTGGCTTGTGTATACAGTGCAGCTGATACGATGTGGCCTAGGCCTGGCTTGTGTATACAGTGCAGCTAATACTGATGTGGTCTAGGCCTGGCTTGTGTATAGAGTGCAGCTGATACGATGTGGCCTAGTCCTGGATTGTGTATAGTGCAGCTGATACGATGTGGCCGAGGCCTGGCTTGTGCATACAGTGCAGCTAATACTGATGTGGTCTAGGCTTCGTATCAGTGTGGCAGCAGTGCAGCTAATACCGATGTGGCATAGGCCTGGCTTGTGTATACAGTGCAGCTGATACGATGTGGCCGAGGCCTGGCTTGTTCATACAGTGCAGCTGATACGATGTGGCCGAGGCCTGGCTTGTGCATACAGTGCAGCTAATACCGATGTTGTCTAGGCCTGGCTTGTGTATACAGTGTGAAGCTAATACGATGTGGCCTAGGCCTGGCTTGTGTATACAGTGCAGCTGATACGATGTGGCCTAGGCCTGGCTTGTGTATACAGTGTAAAGCTTATACCAGGAAAACCTGGGACGGACTTGTGTTCCCTGTTAGAAGTACCGGTGGAGTGAGTCTGGGCCTGACTTAAGTGCGTCGTGTTGCAGCCTGATAGCTCCCCCCGAGCTGCAGGAGCACCAGGGAAAACTGAGCACCACCTCCACACTGACGCTCGAGCTCACCGACATCCTCGGCAACAACATCACCGGGCAAACTATTGACCTTGGAAGGAAGGTTCAACTGAAAGCAACGACAGACGGTGGGCATACTGTAACGAACCTTTTCTCACTAAATCATACACCCAACAGGAAGCTATTCTCAAAAAGGACCCGTGAAGATCCAGAGTAGAATAGGTCTTCAGCAACCAATGCTTTAGGTAAAAGAACTATGCTTGTCGTAAGAGGCGCTGACTTGGCTCATGCATGTAATCGTATCCCAATTGCGTTGATCGATGCTCATGTCAATCACTCGATGGTCTGGTCCAGGCTCGATTTACAGACCGCCGTCATATAGCTGGAATATTGCTGAGTGCGGCGTTTAACAATAAAAAACCCAAATCAAACACTATTTAAACTGTCTGATTCGCTTAGTGCGAAGCAGGACTTGACAAAAGCTGGAGGAAATATGATTATTTGCACACAGACCAACAAAACTGATGAGATGCCCTTTGAATATTGTAGACGAGTATGTGTGTCCGGCTTTGGCTTTATACCACGGATCGGGATGGTACGGGTGGTCAAGTCGTCTAAGGTGTCGCGATTCGCTGTGCAGAGTTGCGTCCCTTGGGCACGCCAGAAACCTATGATTGTGGGTTCGAATCCCGGTTCGCCCCGATTATGATTCTAGGTTTGTCAGAACCATACCCGTGCTCGTGGGTTCAACCGAAGTGGTAAACGACTAAGACCTGCACCACTGCGGGCTTTCCTCCCACATTAAGCTGACACGCCGTGATATAACTGTTATACCGTTGAAAGCGACGTTAAACTCAACTCGCTCACTCGCTATTGAATATGGAAAGGTTTTTGTCGCTTTTATTTCACTACGTATGGCGGTCGTATACCAATGTATGTTTGTCTTGTCGTAACCTCCAGGAGGTACAAAAGAGAAGGGTCTGCATCCTGTGTCGTGTGACGCTATCGGGACCAACACCAACAAAAGATACGCCATTCTCAGGGGAGGGTAAGTATGATATGGACAGGAGGTACTAGGTCCTAACCAAACGGCGCTGCCGCTTTACAAAATCGATAACGGTAAACATGCAAACAAAATATTATCAACTCTTTGAAAATATGGCATTCATTCCGAATGTAAATACTTTTATATGGGCCTACATCCGACGTCTGTTTGAACCATGCAAATTGTGTGTGTGCAGGTGCGGGGACGGTATTGTCTTCAACAAGAGCGCTGGCTTCATCGTGGACGGCCTTATTGCCCGCAGCCCATACTTCAAGTCCTTTCATCTTGGGGACGACGCTGAATTTAGTTTCGAATGCAACTTCACACTTTGTGAAAAGAAATGTGATGGGGTAAGTATGCGGCGTGTAGCAGATACCTGCGTAAAGGAAGTGTTAGTCTATGCCTCCTGTTGACGCACGGATCAACATAGGAATGAAATGCCCTACTACTGAATAAATAGATTGAAACTTGCATTCATTGAAGGTGGTTTGTCTGATTAAGGTCAGACAAAGTAAGTTGGTAGGTCCAGCCGCTGAGACCCCCCACCCTAATTCACTTCACTGACACGCACACACACCTGATAACCCTTCCTCTTTTGTGACAATCCGTGCCGTACTTCTGCATAGACTTCTCCCTCCTAACAAGCCGATCTCTTGGACATCTCTTATTCTTGATGTACCTACAAACTAATCCTAAAGTTGTCCCCGATACCCATCAAGCCCTGACCAAGTGTGCCAGATCTTCATATCGAGATAGCCGAGGCGTACAGTCGCCTTATTCAAGTTTACATGGCGTAAACTGGACACATCTATCATAACTCTTTCGGAAAGGTTTCCTTATTCTTCTTATATGGGTTCCTGTGGTTCAGAAAGGGTCAGTCATACCTCGTCCTTTAGATCTTGATATAATATTTTCGTGGCGTTTTTTTTAATAATTAGGCTTCCCTATTTATTCTGCCCACCCAACATAACTTCCAATGTGTTGTATCTACATGTATATATCCTCACTTAATTATTAATTACCATTACCTATCCATGCTGAGTACATGGATGTTAGACCCATGAATGCCTGGGGTAGAATAGGTCTTCAGCAACACATGCTTGCTGTAAAAGGCGACTAACGGGATCGGGTGGTCAGACTCGCTGACTTGGTTGATGCATGTAATCGTATCCCAATTGTGTGGATGGATGCTCATGTCAGTCATTGGATTTTCTGGTCCAGACTCGATTATTTACAGACCGACCTCATATAGCTGGAATATTGCCGAGTGCGGCGTTAAACAACAAACGTGGATGTTCCAAGGTCATTTAATAGATTACTGTTCCACCATCACCTAACCATGCTTGTATGTGTTTCCACATTACCAACATTTGCTTGATATATAAGCCGAAACATTAGGCCCAGTACCCCAAGGACGGGTTCGGGGATGTCTTCATATGACAAGGTTGATGGTCATAATGCGGGGCGTCGGTGCACTACTACCAGTGGCCTGGGACTGGGTTAATAGCTGGACGCCTGCTGAAGTTGCACTATTTCTATCTACACCGTAACGCATAGCTTTTCTTCTGCTTCAGAGTTCGTGCACAAGCGAGAGAAGGCGACGGGAGTCCCACAACGGTAGGTCGGATCTCTAACAATGGCAGTCTTGGTAACCGCATCACTCGTACATCAATATGGTTTATAAAAGTGTCGATTTGTGCAGTATCATCAACTCGCGAGTGAAAGTCGGTAACGATTGTGGCGGCGAGAATATTGCAGTTGCATGACCCCTTCAAGGCACAATACCCATTATAACTTCACAACTTCACCATGTCCATAGTATACTACTAGCGATGCCATCGTGGCATGACGTCTAGGGATGCCGCAAGTAGCAATCTAATCTAATCTAATCTAATCTAATCTATACATAATCGGAACAGGCAGAGGGCATATTCTTAACAAGTCATTGACGACCTATTACTATACCTATATGAATAATATGGTTAATGTTCATGCCGAGTGCGGTCTTAAACAATAAACAAAACATAAATAAAACATGATATAGTAAATATAGTAAAATGAAAGATTCAGGCGGTCCTTAACTTTTTCGTAGTACATCAAAGTGACTTGGGAATGGCATTTAGGAACTGTGACGTATGCACCTAGTCATGCAGCATTTACATTAATTCCTAGAGTTTTTCAAGATATGTTCAACGTTACAAACGTGACATTTCTGTATTTCTCTTGCATCTGACAGGCCGATTGAACCACGCGTTTGACGACTACATCCAGATAGCTACCATCTCCACACACTTCGGACATGCTGATGTGGCCAGTGACAAGGCCAGTGACAAGGCCAGTGACAGGGCCAGTGACGACGTTGAAGGTGTCGTTGAAAGCGATAGTTAACGTGGATCACGATGTAAAGAGTGGAGAATAAACCATTGCGCTTGTGCAAGGTTGGGTGTTTCTTTCTTGGCTCCCCACATGGGTTTTGGTAGCTGGGAGGTCATTCCTAAAGTACTCACGGAAATGAAAAAACCCTGTTTTTCTCAATTTAAAAATCGACACAAAGTGTTACGTAGCTGTAAATACGAAATAACAAAACAACTCGAAAAGTACTAGTCTGGATTTGCTAGTTTGATCTCGGTGAACAATACAAAATGTACTTTACAGGAGGTAATTTGTCGGCACTTTCAACATTCCAAAATAAAACTAAGTACTAATTGACATAGCAGAAACAGACTATAGGCATTGTGCACCTGTTCTCACCTGTCGTCAAGGTGTCATAGGTCACCTTGATCTACTTACACCTGGTTCTGCCCTGTTTCACAATAGTCTGTTTTATTCACATTTTTACACACTTTTACGTGTAAAAAGGCATAAAAACATTTGATACGCTGTATTTGTGCCACGGCCCAATTAGTACTAATTTAGTTGTTTGAATATTTACATATTTTGTATATTAACTGCATTTATTTAAGATCTGAGGTCGAAAAAACAGTTTTTTTCATTTCCGTGAGTACTTTAGTAACTGGTATTCATCCGCGAACTTAAAATCATCTTGAATCGGCATAAACCCGCTACACACACCCATCTCCTCTTTGAGCATGCATCTTGACCGCCGCAGTAGCCCAGTGGCTAGAGCGTCTGTCTTGGGAGCGTCCGTAGTTCGATGCCAGGCCGCGTCGTTTCAAAAGACTAAAACAGGTGATACTAGTTACCCTGCCTGGCGGCGGGTTTTATCAGTTGGCTAGCATGTTAAGCCGCTGTTAGCCTTACAAGCGCATGTGGACCACCTACCCTACACCACGTTCGTCCACCTCATCACTCACATAAGAAGTCTATTCGGTATCAAAGGCCACATGGCCAAGAGTACAACACAAAGATAAAACGTTCACACATCTGAGCATGGTTTTGAGGATGATTATGGAAAGGTTATGGGTCATGACTCTACATTCACAATTGCATTTGCCACTTGCAATTATCTATACTCTCATTGATTCCTTGTACTTGCATTTCAGTGAACTCAGTTTACTCACGTTAATTTTCATTTTGATATAGTGAACACAATTTACGTAGTTCATTAATCCTGAGTTCGCTCTTTTGGCTCTGATTCCTGTTCTTGTATAAACCGGTGACTGTTAATCCCATACACTGGCCTGCTGTGTGGATAAACAGAACAAAGTACCGTGTGGTATACGTGTATGCTCGCTGGCTGAGATGTCTACATCAACCAGGCAGTAAGTATTACAGGTCATACAATGGATATGAAATCTCCCAAAACAAAGTTGATGCTTTACTTCCGACGAAAGTTGTCTGGAAACTGCTCTAGTTACGACTGTGGTTATATCCCATTAGTCAGACGTCCCATTAGTTAGACGTCCCAATTGTATAAACTGTATAAAATTTATCAAATGTAAAGTGTCATTAAATGTTAAGTATAATATTAAAGTATCTGTTTAAAGCTGCTTCGCTTTGTTTGTCAGATCTTATCTGGACTATTCCATTTTAAAGTCTGGGGTAACAAGCATAAGGATTAGAGTGCACTCAACCGATTAAAGTGTTGTTATAAGCTGTCTAACTATTGGGACGTCTAACTAATGGGAGGACACCACGACTGTACAAGTTTTTCTCCGTTTACGACACGTGTTCACACATAAGCCGAACACGGGAAGTGTCCTCTGAGCAAACCTACAACCCATGAGTGCCAGGTTCGATCTGACTGGGCCATGCATCCTCAGGATGTGACACCTGATGTATTCTAACACTGAGATTACTATGGGTCGGTTTATACTTTTGGGAATGCAGTATCTCATCGGATAACGAACACATCCGTGTCTGCAGAGAGAATGAACAGCTTTCTCGGTTAAATACTCGCAGCTTAATCAAGGAACGGTAACTACCGGTTGACAGGTTCCCCACAATCGGCTACACTGACCCATTATCGCTGACATTAACATAAGTGCGAAGATATATTTTCCTAATGAAGTCTTTCGCCTGATGGGTTTAAAGGCACAGCTGTTCGCCTAACGTGGCGTGGTTTGCTGCAGGCGTGAGAGGAAATCACTTACAATTACATCTGCCTTTTCCCTTGCAAAACATTTGAAAAAAGTCTCAAGAGAATTATTGGAAGATTGCATTATGGACGCTCTTGCATATGACTCCCGTGGAGATTCCCTGGAAGAGCTATCTAGATTCTGGTTAAGTGCTTGTTAGAGCCGACTAAAAATAAGTATCGGTGTGTTTCACCAACGTGTTGAACGTCTGAAACGTGCATCACTGCGGGATTTCGTCCCACATCAACCGGACAGGGCGGGATATAACTGGAACATTGTACGAAGCGGCGTCACTCCAACTTACTGCACGCACGGAAAGGTTACGAGCGTAATTCAAAACGACATTGGGGCGGTCGGGTAGTCTGGTGGTTAAAACGTTCGCTCGTCACGCTGAAAACCCGGGTTCGATTCCCGACATGGGTACAATGTGTGAAGCCCATTTCTGGTGTCCCCCGCCGTGATATTGCTGGAATATTGCTAAAAGCGGCGTAAAATCAAACTCACTCACTCAAAACGACATTAAGCAATAATCTGAAGTTGGTCTAAATAGGCTAACTCACAAGAAGGCTAAGTTCTCACGCGTTTTTTTTTCAAATTTGTGTAATTTATTCCTGTTAATGCTGTTCAACTGACATTTTATCATTTTCCCTGTCTCCATCTTGTGGTTATCTGTTGCGTGGATTGATGCTCATGATATCAGTCACTGGATTGTCTGGTTCAGACTCGAGTATTTACAGACCGCCGTCATTCAGCTGGAATATTATCGAGTGCGGCGTTAAACAACAAACTCAGTGTAGCTGCCTATATAAGGCTAATTTGTGTCAGTAACAGCGGGACCGGATCTGCTATACATGCCGAGACCAGCTGTGAGGTATTCTAACAAATGTTTATTGTCGACTTGCCATTACTTTCGAGCGATATGGGTTTCGGAACGCCATTTAAGACGCATTACAAAACAGCAAAGCCAACGTTGATATGCTAGCCTGCCATGACACTGAAGGAAAAACATGTTTCAATAACTTCGCAATTATCGTGCCTGTTGGAGACGGTGTTCTACAGAAATCGGAGAACATGTTGCAGGATTGCAGTGAATGGAGTTCTGTACAGGACACCGGCTTATACTCGCCTAAAAAGGAAACGCCAATACCACACATGTTGGTTAATATATGAAGAATTACTCGTATTCAAGAGTTATTTGATTGGTTCGGTGCACAAACGAACATATTGGTATGGGTAACCGACGCTCATGAACGCAGCAAATGTGATGTCAAAGAGCAATGACTCGAGATGCAGCATTTGTCTCGTGCGGAAAAATAGCATGTAAAGTTTGTAAATCACGTGCAGCATATCGTGAAGACTTGTAACGATACTGGTAACACAATTAGAGTATATTAATGTGCAAGTATAGGTTAGACCACGAGGACCTAGTGTCTAATCGTTGAAATGGTTGGTTGGTTTGTTGTTTTACACCGCACTCAGCAATATTCCAGCTGTATGACGGCGGTCTGTAAATAATCGAATCTGGACCAGAAAATCAAGTGATTGGTACCATGATCATCGATCCACGCATTTGGGATCGATGACCACCCGATCCCGTTAGTCGCCTCTTACGACAAGCATAGTCGCCTTTTACGGCAAGCATGGGTGGCCGAAGACCTATTCTACCCCGGATCTCCTCGTGGTTTAATTACCCATTTCAACGATTAGACACTGGGGTCTTAAACCATGTCACACATTTACAGCACCTAAATGCTTACGTGAAATATGTCCCCCCCCCCCCCCCCCCCCCCGAGAGAGAGAGAGAGAGAGAGATATGACGCTGCATTTGTTATGTCAACACCGATCCCATGATGCATATTGCGTTCGTTTTATAGCCATAACCATGGTACACGACTTGTTTACATAACTGGCAATAGCCACTAGTTGCGCTACGATCAACCCCAGTAATTACAGCTGATGTCAACAGTGTGGAAACCTTACTTTTCCAGTCAGCTAACTCCCTTGCCTATGGAAGGTGAAGTGATTGGGCTGGCTGTAATAACAAGTATTCACCTGATGATGAAGGAGCAAGAAGTAGCTCTGCAACGTCGTGACAAACAATAAAAGAAGTTGCTATCCATAAGAAATGCCATGCATTCTTTGTTAAACTTCTAAATGCCTACCAAAGACTTAGTCCTGTTTTAATATTTTTGTTTGCTCAACTGAGGGCAAGCTTCGTTTCGAGAGCATAACTCATAAACAGTTAAATAACTTCAAGACACTTTGTAAACACGAGACAAATGCTGAGCCGGTGCATTGTGAATAATTTTCTTTGGCTTTTCCAAAGAAAAACGTGGGATTTGTTTTCGCCATGTAACTTTGGAAAATTACTAGGATATTAGGGACCATTCGCTGAAATCTAAGATAATTTTATTACAATTATGAGCTAGCATGAATGGCGAGGAATATGGATGTCTTCGTCTTATTCAGTCAGTTGCATACCATCTTGGGCAGAAACGGAGTAACATTGCATGATTTCACTGTAAACCGCATAACGACCGATCCCGACGCATATAATTCGTCCAATACGGCACACGTGATTTAGAGAAATTAAGTATACAATTTAATGTCAAGCAACATTTGTATATAAAATGAGGATCGCGGCAGCCGCCAAATTGTAATGTGATAGTCTAGTGAATTAATGAAACAGTTAAGCCAGTTTCAATACCGATTCCTCCCAGTGCAGGCCGAGGTGACCCACGGGATTAGGGGGATCCAAGTCATGAAGCTAGATCTATACCCTACTTTCTGATCTAGTGTATTCTGTTTTCTGAACTCTAATTTGATAAAGGATTGAATGGTTGCTTCTAAAAGTCACACGGAAGCTGTTTCTGAGACTGCGACTTGTATCGTAAAATCA